AACAGGAGTTTGTTTTTTTGGGGGGGGGGCGACGGGGAGGAAAAAGAGAAGTAGAGCTTGACGGGCATAGGCAGGAGAAAGGCGCGACGACTACATACACGTCTGCCATTTTGTGGTTTGCTGTCATTTCATGATGCATTGACCAACGCTCACCTTTCTCTACACCACCGTAGGTACAGATGTCGGTGAATCACCCCCCGCCCGGAGGAGCCGAGGCAAAACGAGAACAAACGGGAGAAAATACCCATTCTTGGCAAAACGCGAAGGCAAGTCTCACCGTAGATAGCTAACCGCTTGAACTCAAGGGCCGCGAGGAAAGAGCCCAAGGAAAAGGACTCCGTTGCCGCCGTCTTGAAGGCCAGCGCTTGCGCCATGATGTCACCGATGCCGCAGATCACCCCAGACGTGAAGACCTTCGGTTTTTGGAAACACACCAGCAGTGTACCGTGAGGCAAGGGGAAAAATACACGAAGCCTTGTCAGCTTTCCTTCCTGCGAAATTCATCACACTGCAATGCCGCACACGCTCCAGGGTGTTTTTTTTTCGCACCCATGTGCTGCCGCACAAGAAGTCTTCTCATCAATCATCAGGCTGAATTGCAGCCAAACCTCCTTGCTCTACACGTGCATTTTCCGGAAAGCGGGCATAAGAAAGGCCATCCGCCCTTTCGAGTGTGCGATCTGACGGTGCACTCTGTCTATGTCACATCGAGATGCTGGTCGGGGGCGATACACCTGGTAGACCTGCATAAGTCTCCGCCTGGAAGTCGATTCGTCACACCTCAACTCAAAAAAGACACGTGTGAAAAGCTTCCCGTAGAAGCGCGGCCTGCCATTGAACGTGGTATCTATACATGTCGTTTGCGATCTGCGAACCTTGGTGATGAGGGGTTTGGTGTCTAGGGCGCGGAGGTAGGAGGCGAGGAGACCATCGGCGCCGTTCTTGTCGCCCGATTCCACCACGAGGCCGCTTTGGTCGGGGGCGGGCACCGCTACCCCGCGTCTGCGCAGGAGGGCCCCGCCGCGAGCTCGTCTTACGACACCTGATAAGGTTTTAGAACAGTGGGGGGGGGAGGTTAGTGTCGGTTGAAAACTACCGGTGTCCGGCATACGTAGTGCAGATACGCACATATTGAATCATTTTGTACTTTGGATAGTGCCGGTGTCCGGAATAGAGCCGGTCAATTCTCTGGGCTCAAACCGGCACTAAACACTCCCCCTTCGCAAAATAGAGCAGTAGATCGATCGTCAATCATACAAAAGCAGAGCTCTTCAACTACAAGTACAGAGAGGTTAAGGCCACACTCCCAAGAAACGGCGCGAAAACAAAGAACGGAAAAAATGCTCAAGCATACAGTATGCTCCGTGCGGTTAGTAGGATGTACAACTATCTGCGGGCCTCGTCGACATGATATCGCGTGATCTCTCGACTGCAACAGTGCAGTGCACGTCAAGCGCTACGGATGTTCGGTTCTTCTCGCTTTCTCGTGTCCAGCCTTGCCAGCAGCACACAATAAAAAATGCCTTGTTTCTCCACGCCACATAATTGTATACACACACAAGCAGCAGTGGTGGCCGACACGTCGTATCACGTACTGGTACCACAGGAGAGCACCAGCCGAGGAAAACAATTTTTTCCCGCAGCAATGGCATGTTTTTATGAGGAAAAAAATTGCTACACTGCTGTCATCGAAACGTATTTATTCTTTGGATGACACATAAAAATGGCGGCAACGTGTCCGCCGACAACCATGGAGTAATTTCATGGAGGAAGATGTATAGCAGCAAAAGACACAACGGAGGAAGGTTTCTTACAAGAATATATCCATCCAATCACTAAGAGTTGAGACTATCCGTTCGAGAGAACGGTGCCCTCGAGGTCTAGTTCGGCATCCTTGTCAGAGATTGTTAGGGCGGAAGACCCAAGACCTGGAGAGATAATCTTCGATCTGCCTACATGCGCGTTTTTGCCCCCGCTAGTATCACTGGTTTCTCAGAGTTAAGGAAACAGACGTATCTAAATACAGCGGTAACCCCAGTGTCCAGCAGATGCCACAAAAACCTCATTTACACACACGTCACACCCCCGCTGAGAAACACTTTGATCTCGAGCAAGCGCTCTGTAGTCGAGCCTGGTGTTACATGCAGCTGATTTCATGTAGCCCAAGTATAAATTCTTCGCCGTTTCCATGTCCAAGGGTGTATGTTTGCTTCCCTCTCTCTACATAGCCCACCACGCGTAACATAACCGAGGCGGATGCCGCGGTTGAACAACTCCATGCGAACGCTGACGCTCACTGAACGCTGCTACTACAATGCTGTGAGAACGTAGAAACACCTGACCCTCTTTGTCGCCCCCCACCTTATCCTCTGTACCAACATCAAGTACGTACACGTCTCATTCCACCTAAGCTTTACCACGCCCCTCGCTAAACAAAGAATCCCAGCGTGAAGATGCTGCTGTGGCATTCCAACACAGAGATCAACTCGCGTAGGGGTATTGGTCGTTTGGATGCTTGGGAGCGGTGTGTGAGGACGTCATGGGTCAGGGCGGGGAACACAAGATGTGATGATGTCATTCGAAAAAGCAGTTGTGTTTGAAAAGTCTACTATCCGTACATGTTTGTGCAAAACTCTTTGTGCAACAACAGCAGTGATCTCAAGGTATGTGAGATAGCATTTGCAGAAGCAGGCAAAAGGTCTTGACGCACACCTTCGAGAGCGAGCGACCCAGTCCTATAGCAGGCAGTATTTGCAGCAGGTGTATGTGTACGTGTGTGACGAAGCACACGTCATCAATCGTCGTCTTCATCTGTGCCACAACAAAGATGGGTTCGCGCTCGTTCATACACCATGTAGTCGAGTCGTAGACGTGGCTACGCATTAGGCTACGGAAGAAGACTAACCGAGAGAGCGATTCCTCACCAAGCTGCTGCTCCACGCTATCGATAGCCCGTGGCGGCGTGGCTGCTGGGCTTGGCACCCCTCCTCCGCGCGTGGTCACGACGCCAGCAAACGCCGAACAGGCATGGCACGAGCACAGCGCTAGTACGAGCGAAAGAAGCTGGCGGCAGTTGACCATGATCACAATCACTCCTCTGGCGCTTACGACGAGTAGGGACTGCGAGTGGGGGAGGTTATATGCGAATGACGCGAACGCACGAAATGCCTGTCAACGACAACAATAAATGTGCCACAGCTGCTAGCAGCGATTGGTAAGAGAAGAACAAAAACGACTCCGGGGAGGATACCGAACTGTGCCCATGCCCAACATCCTTCTGTTCATGCCAGAAACCCCGCCAGAGACTTTGGTGCAATCGGGCCGCGTTTCTTGGGACTGTGGAATTACCGGGTTGTTGTTGTTGTTGTCTTCACAATCAGTATGTCAGTTGCTAAATGCCAAAATCTAGCAAAGACTCTCAGCCCGTGGTCACGAAAGTGCTAGAGCCATCTGAGGATCTAAAGAACACGCACACATATAACGAGAAAAAGGTATCCAAGGGCCCGAAGAGGTACACCTAAATCCCTGCAGCAGCACCGTATGCGTGCCCAAAAAAAACTGAACTGCACGTCCGTCCCACCGTTCGACTACAGTAGCATCACCCCCTCCCTGTCCCACTCTATACCAAAACGGAAGATTGCCGACTACAGCAT